GCAACCTTATACGTTGAAAGAAGAAACGTTCATTTATTTATACACAGGTGTAACGGTGTAACGAGACCGTGTTAACTGGTGACTTTCAGTCGAATAGTCTGTTGTAATATGACACCACTCGCATTCGGCTGGAAGTCTTCTCTTAACACGGTCACTGGATAAACGTAACACCTGTGACAGCATGAAGGAGCTGTCAGTGGACATCGATACAGTGGACCATGATGTATTATTGCATAGACTGGCTAATATAGGATTGTCTAATTCTGCTGTTGGTTGGTTTTCTAACTATCTTTCAGACAGGACTCAATGTGTTTAAGTTGATGGCTGCTCTCTGATACTTTGGCTGTCCACAAGGGGTGCCACAAGGCTCTATATTAGGTTTGTTGTTTCTATTTATATTAATGATTTGGGAAATATGTCCAAAATGCAAATGCCATTTTATGCTGACGACACTATTATTTATTGTTTTGGAGAGACTGTGTTAAAGGCTGTTGATCGCTTGCAAGCTGCTTTTAAAGAAATAGAAGCCCAACTCCTGTCTTTAAGACTGGTACTTAATGCAGATAAAACTAAAATGAGGATCTTCACTAAATCCAGGGACAAAACTAACTGTCGGCCCACTCTATTTACATTTCAAGGTACTCTTATTGAGACCGTTTCCACTTTTAAACACCTTGGTACCTCAAACTGCAGGAACTCGTCACTCTTAATGATTTTAAAAGTTTTTTAATGGCTAATTTTGGAGTGTGTAAATGTTTCACTGCATAGTATTTTATCATCATCACATAATTGTTCTTTTAGTGTGTATTGTGGTGTTGTGTTTGTTTTTGTTTAACATGACCTCGTCCTCCTGCTCCTCCTGCTCCTCCTCCTCCTCCTTCTTCTTCTTCTTCACCGTCTGGACTGTATTTGTCTCTTTTTCTCATGTCTGTGCTTTATTTTTAGGTTTGTCTTATATTTCTTTTTTACTGCTGCCATTTTGGCCAGGCCTTGCTCGAAAAAGAGGTTATTTGATCTCAAGCAATTCTTGCCTGGTTAAATAAAATAGAAAAAAAGGAGCCTTCAGCCGTGCTCCGTTACCTTTATACTCCTGGGAAAGTGATTCAGAAGAACTGCTTCAGCGACCTTCAGTTCGTCTTTGTTCAACACCTTCATGTTATCGAGCTGTAATGTCCTTTAAGAGCTGTAATGTCCTTTAATGTCTTTGTTTATCTGCAGTCTGTCTGCTACTGGCCTCTGATTAGTGTTGCGGAAATTCTGCTTTACATTGACAGCAGTCAACATTACGTTGACGTCACATGGTCATGTGTGCTGCGTTCACTTGCGCTTCAGACCTTCTCTTTTCTTGAGATTGCTCTGTTCAAAATCGTAAAAATTAAAACAACATGTACATTATAAATTGAATATGTTGTTTTCTAAAGTGCAGGTTTAATCTGGGAAACCCTAAACTAAAAGCAACCATTTTTACAACATCACAGAATAAAGTTAATGACAAATTCGCCTTAACCTGAAAGGCAACGCGTAAGTTTAAACAGTTGTGAGACTAGACTCTGTCAAGTCTGCTAATAGGCTACAATAACTTTCTCTAAATGTCCTTTAAACTTGAGGAAGCTTAGACGAAACTTTTCCCTGATAGAAACTCTTTTGTCCAATTATTCCACCAGTACGTGAACGCAGGGTTGTGCAAAATGTTCTGTCTCACCTGTGACACCAATATGTTCATAAAAAAGCAGATGAAGCATCAAAGTCCACAATGAAGTTCATAAAAAGAAGTAGTTAGGTGGTTAAAATGTCGTGCAGATCTTTAAAAACTGCTTCTCTTCATGATTTTAAAATGTTCTATTTTATTCTTTTTCTCTCTGTCATGATGCGTTCAATGTCTTGTGAGCAGCACTTTGAATTGCCTTGTTGCTATAATGCACCTTACGAATAAACTTGCCTATCTGAAACATGTCGACTATTTACTTTAAGAAAAAGCAGAAATGTGGGTTTTTAGGATAGGATAGGATAATACTTTATTGATCCCCAGAGGGGAAGTTCGGGCGTTGCAGCAGCACAGACAAGTAAGGTCAAAATACAAAATACACATTAAACAAAATAGATTAGATAAGATAAATAAAAATAGGGGGTATATACAAGTACAAAATGAATGATGAAGTTAACTATGCAGGGTGTGTGATGATTAAAGTGACTTGGTGTGATAAATAGCAGCAAGTATGTAAAACAGCAGAGAAGAGAGGCAGTGTTGTACCACAGTGATGCAGAGTGCAGTTATATAATATAATGTAGTGTAATATAATATAAACAATATAGTGTAATATAATTAAATGTTATATAATATAGACTAATATAATAAAATATATAGAATGTACAGTGTGTATATACATTGATGCTAAATAATAATAATAATAATAATAATAATAATAATAATAATACAATGTTAGTAATGATAATAATGAAGCAGGTCATGTGGGTAGTGGTAGTAGTAGTAGTAGTCATAGTTTTAGTTTAATACCAACACCTTACCTCTCTTGCCACCATGAAATGTGTTAGTCGAGATGGCGCCGCTCATTAGAAAGACCAGATTGTCCTCTACAGGGTCCAACAGGTTTCAGAAATATCCTTTGGAGATTCATGTCCCACACAGAGGACAAACATAAATTGTTGGGTTGAAGGACTATAGTCCGCACGTAGGCGTTCTTTTTTAACGTAGCTTTCTCTGTGTTTTGGCCTTTGGTATGCAAAATACATTTTAGGTCGCTGAAAATGTACATTTGGAAAACTCCTTCCAGGGTGAAGATTTTCGGGACCTCTGTTTATGTGTAGATGAGGAAATATTTGGGGCTTGTAATGTGACACTCTCCTGCATTTTACATCAGTGTGCAACATGTTCACTAACGTTTACATGAGATTTATACAATGGCGGACGTATATATATATATATATATATATATATATATATGTGTGACCTTTAATACCCAGACACATCAACACAATCACATGCTGTTAAAATGTGTTTAATTTTTAAACATTGTGTATTTCATGAGGTAGTTTTGATGATAATGTATTACAAAGTTGTTTCACTAAAAGTGAAATCTGAAACACAGACTTTTAAAATATTATCACATTTAGAGTTGTAAACAGTTTACAAAGATAAGAAGCCATTTGAAATGATACAGGTCTTGTGCTTAATCTACAGGAAATATAAATCTAGAAGAAGGCAGAGCGTAGTGGAGGGAGATGAACAGAGGAGTGACATTTCAAACATAAATGTAAAAGTCACATATCCTCCTCCTCTTCAGTTTAAATAAGTCAGAGCTCCTCTTCAACATGTGTGTGAAGTTTCTTGTTCTAAATCCACTCTGATCCTGTATTTGATCATGTCTATAAACCCCTCTATTTTAGCCCTGCTCAGAACAGGCTGTTTGGAGATTTTCCCTTCATGACATCACAAAGGGCAGTAGCCCCTCCCCCAGGTGGGTGACACTCCCACAGCTAGGTGTTTGTTCTGCCCTCTGAGTCTGCCTTCTCACCGTAAACAACAGGACATGGAGCGAGAAAGCACAGAGACACCCAAGCCCTTCCAGAGAGGGGGCGTGTTCAGACACAGCTCATTTACATATTTAAAGGTACAGACGCAGAAACAGCCTGTTCTGAGCAGGGCTAGAAAATAAGAATAATTCCTGCATAACTCAATGATAGAAAATAACTGAGAACAAACCCAGAAATCTGATTGTCTGTGTGACAATTTATCTTCTTCACCGCCCTGAAGGTGTAAATTAGTTTTTAAAGTTCTGCACTTTATTGTGTTCAAAGTCCTTCTATTGTTTGGAGAGATCATGAAGTGATCTGAGAAAGGCCTGGCACGATCTCACTTTATCTTTCTGCACCACAAAGAGTCAAAGTGCAGAGATAAGTAACCTGCTGTCATCGTAGTATGTGACTGATTAAAGGGCCGTCATGTGAAAACGAAGTCACTCTGCTGTTCATCTCCCTCCACTGGTTCCCAGTTACTGCTCCCATCAAATTTAAAACTCTGCTCTTCGCTTACAAAACAGTGACAAAAACGTCTCCTCCTTACTTTAACTCTCTGATCCAGTTCTACACCCCCCCCCCCCACCCCACTACGCTCTGCCAATGAAAGGCGTCTGATCCAACCTTCACAACAGGGTCCTAAGTCTCTAACTAGACTCTTCTCCTCTGTCGCCCCCCGGTGGTGGAACCAACTACCAAACTCCATGTGATCTGCAGAGTCCCTCTGCACCTTTAAGAAAAAGCTAAAGAGCCAGCTCTTTCATGAATACCTACTAACTTAATGATGATGGTCTCCATATTATTAATGATGATGATGGTAATGACGATGGTTTTTGTTTGATAACAACGACTTATAAGATGGTTTCTATACTGATTAGAGCTCTCAAGAACTGCCCTCAATGTTGTGCTTTGCCTCTGGTCACTTCCTGTCAGCACCTGTGTGTCCAATCAGACTCAAAGCTGATCGTTTGCTCTTACTGACATTGTTCCCTTTTTTCTAGATCCTTGCTTGTGTTGTTCTTACTCTCTGATGTACGTCGCTTTGGATAAAAGCGTCTGCTAAGAGAATTGTAGAATTGTAGAATTGGGGGCAAAGAGAGGGGTCGGCATCCCAGCCACCAAACCGCTCCAATGCCCGCTGGAGTTTGAGGAAGCCGACAAAATCACATGATCTGCAAAAAAAGCAGAGATGAGATTTTGAGGCCCCTGAAACTGGAAACCCTCCTCCCCCTTCCTGCAACATGAGATCCTGTCCATGAATTGGTGACAAGGGGTAACCCTAACAAGCACAGGGAGTGCGTCTGACTTTATGCATGAGGATGCGGACACAGCTCCCACTTTGGTCATGCAGGGACCGGATGGCTTGTAAACGTTTTCCTACATTCAGGGTTCTCTTCAATTATTCCACAGCTGAGCTGAACTCTTGATATGTAAACAAAGGGCTCTTTTGTTTTCCTGCACGCACAATGTTAATGTCATGTTTCTTACAGAAGGGCGACCTCTTCAAAGACGTCCTTATTTTTGCAAATGATAAAACCAGTGTTGAAGAAACCATCAGGAAGTCGTCTGTCATCGATTGGACCAGGTTCCTCTGTCTTGGTGAGAGCAAAGGAGCCCTTTTATTCTTTGACATTATACGTTTTCTGAATATTTAAAAGAAACACAGAACCAAGCACCTTCAACAAAATTTTTCAGTTTCTGTGTCTCATGAATGTAATCAATATCTTCACGACTCTGTCCAAGGATTTGATCAAGGCTACACGGAAATATTTAAATCAGTGGCGTCAGAAAAAGAAGCGCCGGGCCGTGAGCAGCACGTGTGTCGATTGATGTTCCTGCAGGATGTTTCCAGCCTTCCTGATATTCCTGAGTCTATTCATGCAGCGATTCCTTTACAAAATCATTATTTACATTTAATCAGTCCTAGACTTCCGGAGGATTGGGGGGGTTTTTTCAAAAACTTAGGCTGGACTCTAGGGACTGATTTTGGGACCAAACTGTGCAATAAACCCATCCAGTCCTTTGTTTGTGGTCTGCATAAGTCTTACAACACAGAGAAAAATGCTCTGTTTCAAATATGCTCTCCTTGTGATGTCACAGTGGGATTCTGGTAAAAACAAATCCCCTCCCCTCCCCTGGTATCTCCACCCCATGGACTCCACCCCCAGCCTAGAACAAAACTTTCACGCAGGTCGGCCATTTTTATTCTCTCTACAGAGGAGTGATGTCTACGGGGAAAACTCAGAGGGGGTCATTGCATTTAAAGAGACACACACACCAAAACGGAGCGTTCTGAGAGAGCTGGTTTATACAGGGTCACAAAGCTCCTCTGGTGCTTGATTTGTTCATTGTTGCTAGGTTGAGAGAAATGTTACTTCTGCTTCCCTCCGTAGTGACTGTAAGGTTGGGTGTGTAACATTTTTTTTCTCTTTCAAGGAAATATCACCAAGAAATCATGACGTGGAAGTTTTCAAATAGCGACGAGGCTCTCGTTATGATTCGGAACATGGTAACAAACTTCCCTTCCTGCTGCGTGCTGGATGATGAAGGTCAGCCCGTGTCCTGGATCCTGGTGTATGATTACTGTGCCATGGGCATGCTGTACACGCTGCCGGAGCACAGAGGGAAAGGTTATGCCAAAGTGCTGATCTGCAGCATGGCGAGGAGGCTCCACGCTGAGGGGTACCCGGTGTACTGCTTCATCGAGGAGGAGAACACGCTCTCCCACAGGCTCTTTACAAAGCTGGGCTTCACTGAGGCGCCCTCATAAAGAGGGGGGTGGTTTGAGTTCAGTGAGTTTTAAATACTTACAGCAGGGTTTTATATTCCACAGGAAATATCTAAAATTAAACGCTGACAAAACTGAAATTGCCAATCTCTGTCTCGGTTGTTTCTCTTTTCTGTTCATTGGATGATTGCTGCGCTGTTATTTTATTTTTCATGCTTTTTTGATGGGATTTTATTTTTGTGTATTTGACTGTTGGGATTTTTCTTTTTTCTGTGAAGCACTTTGTGACGTTGGTTTTGATAAGTGCTTTATAAACAAACTTATAACTAATAAATATTATTATTATTATTATTATTATTATTATTATTATTAGGATCAGTGGAAACTTCACAGAGATGATTCGGGGAGCTTTTATTAAACTTCTTGAAAAGGAGGATAATGTGTCACTTTTAAGATTCTGGACTTTCTAAGTTGTGTGATTTGATAGATAGATATACTTTATTGTCTGTCCCAACAGAGACAGAAATTCTCCTTCGACAAGGCTCAAACAATAAACACAACTTACATTAAAAACAGAAAGTGCAGTACATTAAAAGAGGACTTAAAAACAACAGTTTCTAAAAAGGGGGGTCTATTTGATTTTGTTCAGAATGGTTATTGCAGAGGGAATGAAGGATTTTTTGTAGATGTTTTTCCGGGCCAGAGGGACTTTGTAGCGTCTGCCTGATGGCAGCGATTATACAGTTCGGAGAGGGTAGTTTGTGGTGAACCGATAATTTTGCTGGCCTGATTAATGACGCGGGAGAGTTTGATTTTGTGTTTGGTGGTGAAGGAGTTGTACCAGGATGAGATGTTAAAAGTGAGGATGGATTCAATAAGTGATTGGTAAACCAGAGTTAAAATATGTTTGCTGACATTAGAAGTCCTCAGTTTCCTCATCAGGTGGAGTCTCTGTTGTGATTTCTTGTAGACAGAGTCAGCATGCTGTGAAAAGGAGAGACAGATGTCAATCTCTGTTCCCAGATATTTAAAAGAAAGAACCTGCTCTACAAGCTGACCCTGGATTGTGAGTGGTTGGAAGAGAGGTGATGGTGATTTTCCCTCTGCCCCCACAGCACAACTCCTTAGCCTTTGTGATGTTGAGCTCCAGTGAGTCTTCTCCAATTGTCTGGACCAGGTTGTTGACTGCCTGCTAGTATTGAGTCAGGGCAGTGGTGTCAGTCAGTGGTGTCAGTCAGTTGCAGTTAAAAACTCTTAATCCATAAAACCAGTGTGGGGTGGACATGAAGGTCCAAGAGGCGGCGCAACAGAGTGTCTGTGTGTACAGTATTAAAAGCAGAGGAGAAATCCACGAATAGAATCCTAGTGTGGGGATGTGCAGAGTCAAAGTGTTTGGTGACAGTGTCTAAAAGTGTGAGACTTGCATCCTCTCCACCACGTTTTGCTTTATAGGCAAATTGTAGGGGATCAAGTTTGTTAGACAACATTTTAGACAGATGGTCACACACTATGGATGTTGTAGACTCTGAGTCCCATTTTGTTTTTGCTCTGTCCAAATATGACCCTAGGAGAGTTATTGCTTCATGAAATAGCCTCGTCAAAAAAGCTGAAATATTGCGGAGGCCAGATGAGCAAAAACTGAAAAATCTGTTTGATGTGTTTTAGCAAATGTTTGTCTCAAAACTTTGTAGAAAAATGTTGAAAAAAATCTCTGCACACCTGAATCTATACAGTATACAGTCTATGCACCGTGCAGTAGTCACAGTCTATAAACGTCACTCCCCCCCCCACCTATTGGCTCGAGGTGAATTCTCCGGAGAATATCCTGCTGCATTCTCGCTTCAGCTCACTCGGACTCACTGTGTAAAAAATACCAGGCGTCTGGCAGGAGAAACTCCAGGTGAAGTCCAAGCGAAAAATGTGGCTGTTTGCATTCACACATGCAGCTCCTTGTGTAAATATTTTTCTGCAAGTGCGAAAGCACTATAAGCAGCAATAAATGTTTTAAACAAATACAAACGTGAGTTGTCTGAGTGAACTATCATCCTGTAAAAGATGCAAGCCGATGAAAGGTCACAAAATAAGAAACAAGTTTGTAAATGAAGACAAGACGATCACTTTAAACTTCTGTTCCAGGACGATGAACAACCCTTAATCTCATGGTGTCATGTGAGCCAGCGCATGCTGCATGCATGCATCCACAAAGAATGATGCTTATTGGTCCGAGATGCCTGTCAATAACATGAGCAGATCCCGCCTACCATGATAGTCTAACTCGACTCAAATAATAGTTTTAAAATGTTTAAATCCATCAATTAATAAATAATAAAATAACATGAAACACGAAACAAAATACTGCATGCATGCAGCATGTGCATGCAGTTCAGAATCAAAAAGTCGGTTTAAAAGGTCGAAAGTGTCTGAAGTTTCCTCCTCCTGCTGACAGCTTCTCCAGGTGACAGCCGGCCTAGCTGCTGTCTGCAGGCAGCGCGAGCAACACCAAACAACTGACAGCGAGTGACGTAGCCACAAAGAATGATGCTTATTGGTCCGAGATGCCTGTCAATAACATGAGCAGATCCCGCCTACCATGATAGTCTAACTCGACTCAAATAATAGTTTTAAAATGTTTAAATCCATCAATTAATAAATAATAAAATAACATGAAACACGAAACAAAATACTACAAAATAAAACACATTTAAGTTAAAACAAAATAACAGAATAAAACTAAAACAAATGTAATAAATAATTTGTAAAATGGAATATAAATTTAAATTAATTCAATTTAATAAATTAATTTAAAAAATATAAATACAAATAAATAAAATAATAGAAAATTAGGTTAAAGATATCTTTTTTTAATTTAACAACATAAATTTGAAAAACAAATAATAATAATAATAATGAAATACATATATTTTATGCTTTTGCTCTTCTACCTGTATTAAGCTTTGATAAAAGTTAAGTTTTACAACTATTTCTTTCGTTTATTTTATTTTATTAGATTCTGTGTTAACATTATTACTATGCAGTAATAGTTATAATAATAATTGTGGTAATCAAATTATCATGTATTTACTTCAGTTATTAATGTTACCTGAGTGTGAAACATTCAAATATATTTAATTGATATTTATATCTGACTATATTTGTATTCTTCCTCTCTGAAGGTGACGTCATGTTAAACTGCTGAGTCATCTTAAACGGATCCATCCAATCCATTAAAATTCCGCCTGGATCAACACCGCCCCCGTGTGGCTGAAAGGAGAACACAGAAACATGAGAGGTCACTGTAAATCTCGATGTGTTGTTTTTTCCTCTTCACTTCATCTGTCACTAAAAGTCAGGTTTTCAGAGAACTCATTAAAGATGGCGCTTTCTCTTCCTCTTCAGACTTTCATTGACCTCCTTCACATCTTTTTCTCTACTTTTCTCTACTAGTGTTTTCTCTTGATATCATTAAAAACGCTTCATGGCAGCACGAGGGATAAAGGCGTGCAGCATGTACGCTCGATGACTCCTATGCCACAGAGTCCACTTCAGCAAATCTGGATTATCTGAAATATATCGGGATATCATGATATGTGCGAATTTAATTCAGACAACAAGAGATCTTTGGCTACCTCCCCTAGGGGGTCCCGGGCCCCAGGTTGGATACCAATGCTTTAACCAATGCTACCAAGAGACAAGACAACAAGGGTCAACGTGGGACGAGACGAGACGAGGTGAGAGGTGTAACCCCGCCTCTCGACCAATGATGCTCAGATCAGCTCCAGGCCCCCGCAACCAAAAGTGGTATAGATGGATGGAGGTTCAGGTGTTATTATGTATCATACAGCGCCTGATGGAGAACCCGGTCGTGCTGGAAATACCTTGAATTGTGTTTTTAATGCATATAGCAAATAAAAAATGTAATAATTTTGTGAATCTTTGTGCATCATATCTCGTATTTTTGTTGGACTCTGCATGTGTGTGTTGGGGTTGTATCAAGTCAACTTTGGTTATATTCTTTAATAATTATACTTAATTATTAATGATATAAATAAAATATCATTAAACTATGTTTAATCTCGTTTTGGGGAACCAACCTGTAATCAGGTAAATATAACCAAAATATCACTCAAATCAGTCTCAAATTAGTTATTTAATTACTAATATTATTAATAATGAATAACTATATTTAATAAATTGAAGGCGTGAAATCCGTACACAAAGCCTTTGCACCCAGCTTATATCACAATGCAAATACACCAGTAACCACAAACAACTGCTCTCTTAAGTTATAACAGAATTTATTTAAACAAAGCAACATCAATCCAAAATCAATGAACTTAATCAAACAAATAACTATCATAAACTAATCTAACCAAACAAACATTATCAAGCAAGGCTTGTGGATGAGGTGTAAATGTTTGTGTGTGTGTGTGTGTAGATGTGTGTGTGTGTAGATGAGAGAGAGAGAGAGAGAGAACAAGATGGTGGAGAGAGACAATGGTGGACAACAAAGGAAGCCGTGTGGCTACCTTTTGAAATAGTTTGAGCTCTCTGAGCTGAGTTCAGTAACTGTTACTTAAACACCAGAAAGCCAGTGGCCGGACTTTGATTCAACGGCGGGTACACTGGTCTTTCTGATTGTGAAAGCCGTTGACTGAAGGTAAACTAGCATAGCATTACACACATAGGTGAACACAGCAGTTCATTACAATAAACAAATGCAGCAGCTTACAACAGATAATATACAGAATGTGACGTCAACAATGATGCATAATTATCAGTGGTAATAAAAGAAAACATAACTTTTTGAAACTATTTCTGCCCAGACAAAGCTCTTACTTGGGGTAACTCCTGGTGATCGTTGCAAAGTTGGTTAGATCGTCACTCTGTTGAATGTTAAATCAACAGATTCAGGCAGGTTTCCTTTGTGGCAGATGTAGGAGGAGGGTAACGGGATTCAGATCTTCAACCAGAGCGCTACTCTATAGGGTTTCTGGTTGCAGGAGCCGAGTTCTTTATGTGTCCTTGTGGTTCAGGGATCAGTG